TATGCATGTATGTATGTATGTCATTATGTCATGTATGCATGTATGTATACATGTATATATGTATGCATGTATGTATGTCTGTATGTATGTCTCTGTGTATGTATGCATGCATGCATGTATGCATGCATGCACAGATGGATATGCATGCGCGTGTATGCATATATGTGTGTGTATGTATGTATGTATGTCTGGATGGATGGATGAATGGATGGATGGATGGATGGATGCATGCATGAATGTGTATGGATGGATGTATGTATGCATTTGTGTGTGTATGTATGTATGTATGTATGTATGTATGTACGTAGGTAGGTAGGTAGGTAGGCAGGCAGGCAGGCAGGTAGGTAGGTATGTATGTATGTAGCTAGGTAGGTGGGTATGTATGCATGTGTGTGTATGTATGTGTTTATGTATACATGGACCTTTGCCAGTGTCTACATTCTGTGGTTTGTCTTCATGCCGACCGGAATGCCTGCCTGTCTGTTTGTTAGCCTGCCTGCTGGTCTATGATCATTTGCTGGCCTGACTAATGTGCTGCAATCTGAGCGCATGTGTACTCCAGTGCTGCACGCATGATCTTGTGCATGCATGACTTTACATGAGTGCTTTGTTGTAGGCTCCAGACTCATTGCCGTTGGACAGGACAGCAAAAATTGTGGCAGCGCACACCGCTGCCTTGTTTGTTCATTGTAAACATGCGTTTGTAGCATGTTCCATGGGTTTGCCTCGTCGGTGTGGCGGACTCCCTACCAGCAGCCTTCTGACATTGCAGGCCCCGGGCATGCAGCTTCGACATTGCGCGGCTTTGCCATCCAGGTGAACGCTTGACCGGGACTTTCGGGCGCACGAGCTGGGAAGCAGACGGAGAGCACGAATACTCGAATAGCAACCCAAGACAGCCGGAAGGCTGGTCTCCAAACTTCAAATTATGGGTTTTGCATATGGCTCTTTCTTGGCAGGCCCGGGTCTCCCTGGCCCCCGGAGGCGCGCAGAGCTCGAGTTGCCGTTGACGCATGGCCTGCAACAAAACAAAGTAAGAGCTAATCCCAACGCCCTCTAGGTGGCAGCGAAGTGTCGGCCTACAGCGAGCCGAGCGGCGAGGGCGTTCGTGTGGATGCGGCCCTTTACGCTGGGGGAAAGCCGAGCATGCACTACGCAACGCCGGCCACGTCTTCAACTGGAGGTTGTTGAGACATGGCACCTCGATGAAGATCATTCCGAGATTTGGAGTCGGTGTTGCAATGAATCGAAGAGACTTCTTGAATGCGCTCGCCGCTCACCCTCGCAGCAGCTGCAACGTAGCCAGACCCTGCACCAAAACCCAACAACACCCCACTGCTGATTTGCATCACATTTGCGCTCGCTTTTGCCAGGACCCGTTGGTTGGCAAGCTGATCTGCTATGCCCCTGGTGAAGGCCGACAGCAGAGCACGGAGGGCTTCGGGCAACTTGTGCTGTCTTAGCACATTTTGAGCTTGAGCTGTGCAGCAACCGCAAGTTCTTTCGCTGGTGCAGTCGGCTCGGCCCTGCTGCGGATTGCAAGATTCGTCTGTAGATGCAAAGAGGCTGCGTGTTCTTCATAGAGACCGAGTATATAGCACCAGCTTCTTGTCCTGAACCCCAAACCCCAAAGTTTTCTTTGAAGGACCGAAATGTTCATCTTGAGTTTGGCAGGTGACGAGGCCTTCCAGGCCTGCCGGGAGCGGACTATTTCAGCTTTGGACTCCTACGTCATCGACGGGGCTTCCGGACTGCATTGAGGAAACTGGCGGGGCGGGCAAATTTCGTACTATACTGGGTTAGGGAAAGGCCAGCCGCCTTACGCATATGGTGCTATTTGCCGCATTGCAGAAGTTGCGAGAAGATGAGGTTTCGTGCTTGCAAATTTTGGAATGCAGGGCGAGCATTTCATGGTCGTCTGCTTTGTAAGAACCACTTTTCCGTGACGTCTCCATGCTTGAGGTAAACACCAACAAGCCTGTGTTGCGCGGAATCCTGCGGCATCCCGAATTCATCAAAAACGAGGCCTGCAGGGGTCTGATCCGATTGGAGGCTTGGGATTTGCAGAGCGGTGCGCCCTGTGGGGAGGTGCTCCTCTCCTTCATGGCCCGCCATGGCCCAACCCTCGCCGGCAGCGCCGATGCGGCTACGAGCAGCAGTGGCCCGGCCAATGCAGGTTTTACATGTTTTACGCCTTCTGGGGTGGAGGGCATCGGATTCAACTCTCCATGAGCCGCTGTTGTCGAGTAGGAACAGTCTGCACGCTTCCTCTTCCGGCTTGAAGCAGCCAGCGCCACGAGAAGGCATGTATTGCCAACACCGCTGGGTTTAAGCTGGCACAGCCTGCACGTAATGTTGCAGTAGGTCTTGTGCTGGGACTTTTCAGCGACTTGTCCTTGGTTTGACCATGGTGATCTGCAGATCCGCATTGTCTTGAAAGCACGGATCTTATGATAGCACGCGGTAACCATCAGAAACCCCTGCCCGTCTGAGAAACACGGCTTAGTATCTAAGGTCATTTTTTCAATTTTTTCAACAGCAGAATAACCTCGCCTGCCCTGGACTGCTCTGCCCAAGGCCAGGCATCGAAACCCGCCGGGCACTCAACAGCAGTAGGTTCATCTGTGAAGGCAGTCGCAGGAGAGGTCTAGCCCCTGCTAGCGATGTTCAAACAGCCCCACTTATGAGATCGAGGTGTCGCTGAAGCGCCAGGAGCTGTCGGTCTCATCGCCGTTGGAGGCTCTTAGAATCCGCCACGAAGCACCTGGAGCTGCTGGGGCTCTGGCCGCCTCTGGCCAGGCGACTGTGGTGCAGAGCTGCGTCCAAGAGGGGCAGGAGGCCTGTTCTGCGGTATGTCGCAGAGTGCACAGCTGCCCTTGGCTGCATTCCACTGGTGCAAGGTGGAGGAGGGACAGCTGCTGGTCTTGCTCTCTGCCATGAAGCTGGAAACCGAGGCATTCAGGATTTGCCTTCGCAGCTGGGCATAGCTAGGCCGCCAGGCCAAACAGCGCTGAGCCTGCGGTGCAAACAGCCGAGCTTCAGCACTCTCCCAGCATAATTACAGCCTGCTGTTCGTGGCACTAGGCCTACATGGTCTGTCAGGGCAACACGTAAGATTGCAAGAAGGAGCCAGTGTTCCGCTTCTTCCAGATGCCTCACGCGCAAGCATTGCTTGTATAGACTTTGGAGCCCAGGTTCGTAAGGCTCCACTCCGGCCTTTTTGGAAACATAGGTTTTCCTGCTGAGCTCTGCACGGAAGCTTTTGGCAGGTCCGCTCACCGCATGCCGGGAAGGCGCGTTGACTTTGCTTGCTTTCGCACAGGACCTTGGAGTAGTTGCACATGTTGCGTGCACGGTCCTGGTAGCCAGTCGCCTTCCCAGTCATCCCCGGCACCAGGAAGGTCACAGACAGAGAGAGACAGGTAGAGATAGAGATTGTCACTTTCGCTTGAGAGTAGCCGGCACTGCTCGAAGCCTGTGCGAAGCTGAGGTTCTAAAAGTTTCTGCAGTCGCGAACAAGACAGTCAGCGCTGGTGAAGATCTCGTGGCCACTTGCCATTATGAGGAAGGCTTCTGCTAAGCACGTTGACAGCCAAGCTCCGTGGCTCAAGTCCGAACCCTGCTCTGAGCCGCTGTGATGACTTTTTGCCACATCTGTATGTTCAGTAGCTGCCGAACCTCCGAGGGTAGTGTTACCAAATCCCAAGCTCTGGGCAACGAAGTTGAACGGAAGCGTGGCTATGTCGCTGAGGTTCTGGACGCTTTGGTTCCCGAGGACAGCATCTCCCCAGCCGTGGGCAAAAAAATCTATAAAAGTCTCACAAATGTTCCTTCGAGCAAGGCGCGCCTAAGTCCAAAGAGTCATTGCCGGACTGGCACTTCTGCAGGTGCATTGGAGGGCAGCAAGTCTGCCCTTCAGTAAATCCACGTGCTGTGCATGCTGATGCATGGAAGCAGCAGTCTCAAGTTCCACATGCGACTCTGCGAACAGCCATGTCTCGGGTTCGTGATTGTCATGCACAGCAATATGTCGGCCAGGCGGTGCCGGGCAATGTGCAGGAGCTGAGTGTGAGGCGGATTTCCCTTCAGCTTTGCAGGACGGGGAGGGCGCTGCTGCTGAGACGGCTGCGATGGCATCAACGAGCCGCGTGTCACTGGGCCAAGCTCGGAGCATTGCCTCGTTCTGTTGCATCTCGTTCAGTAGCTCGTAAGTGCTCAGAACGGAAGAGGGGGCGCCGTCCGCGCCACGAAAGTGCGATCGATCGATTGGGTGTTTCTGCAGGCCATGGCTTTCCCCGGACACACCACCAACAGGGCAGCAGTTCCAGCAGCATCAAGAGTTTCAGCCTGCATCAACAGCAGACACAAAAACCAGTGCTGAACGCTGGTGTCGAATATACGATGTAGACGAATGTAGACGAAGGCCGGCACTTGCAGTCAGCAAGGAAGAATTCAAGCGTAGGGAATGCCCGGCGAGCCGGGCAGTTCCTCGAGTGGAAGTGGAGTTGGTATTCGGAAAACGCCACTCCAGTTGATTGCTCTCGGGACCATCTTCCGCCACAGTCGTACTGTTTGTCGGAGAGGAGGTGTGAGAGGAGGAGATACAACGTGCGACGGAGGCGACTGGTGGGATCTGCAATGGCAGATGCGACCTCCGTGTGGTACGGCAAGGAAGACGGCAGTGACCCTGGCAATGGGACATGTGTAAGATCTGCATAGCATGACAACTGAAGATCGTCATCCTCCCAAGGCACAGCATGGCACATTTCTTCCAACTCATTCCAAGTCCTCTGAGGTGTCAAGCCGTGCCAGGGCCCGACGTCAAGCAGTATCCGACTGCCTGCGCCACGTCATAATGACGAGGACGCCAGCTTGGGCAGCCAGGTTGAGACAAGGGCACAAGTCGGCGCAAATCATACCGCAGCTTCATGAAGACCCCCATTGCATGGACACGCCCCATGGCGAGTTTCACTATAGCATGATCACTGTTTCAAACGAGGCTCAATAGCGTGCTCCAGATGACTCAGATCCGTCCCTTTGATGGTGGAACAACAGCCTCTGTGTGAGCCAGCATGGAACAAGCATGACCGAGTGCTCGGTCATGGCAGCACTAAGTTGAGGAATTCGTGGCTGCTTAGTTCTGCTGAAGACTTTCTGTAACACATCACAGATGGTCACTGTAAATCCTTCCCAACTACGTTCCACCGCCAATACTGGAGATCGCAAACTTGCCCTCGAGTTCTCTCTCGCTTTGCCAGGCCTTCATGAAGCGAACTGCTCACCACACTGCCCTGCTGGACGCTGGGATCGACAGTACTTCTTCTCCGTTGAGAGTGTGTCTCTTCGAGTCTAGCGGTTTGATGCGGATATCCGAGTAGCTTGATTCACTTCAGCCGGTTTGGTTCATTGGTGCGGTGCTGACAAAGGCTTCATCTTGCAGCTTCGTCCGAAACGCCAGCCGCTGCCCCTTACTGCAACCCACAATCAGGCTTCAACCCAGCCTCCCAACCTTGCGAACTCCAAGTCCGAAAGCATCTCAGATTAGCTTCCATGAGGGTGCGGAAAGGCTCGAGAATGCGTGACCAAGGACCAGCTCAACGAGCGGTTACAGGTCGTCTATGGAGGAGGAGGCACTGGCAGGGCCCGAACCCTTCTCCACGCTGCTGCTGCGGTTCATCCTCTATGTCCCACGTGTCATCGTTTAGAAGCCCAGCGACTGACAATTTGAAGGTGCCGAAGACTAAAGTAAACCCGCGGCATACAGTTAAGCAAATCTGGGTGATCAAAGGGTGAAGTTATGCCAGATTCTCACGGCGCTGGGCTTCTTGACACTCGTGTGAGCCATTCGTGCAATATCTTTTTAGCACTCGCAGGTGAGCAGTCAGTGGAGCAGCATCATGCTCGTGGCAAGGCAGCGCAGTCTCGTGCTTCAAGTTCATGCATGGCATCAAAGCACGCGTCGACAGGCAAAGGCTGTTGGTAGGTTTTTATAGTTATAGGACACATGCAGGAAACAGAGTTGCCCCCATCCCCAATAAGCCTGAGGAAGCAAGGACACGGGAGACCACACGCAAGCATTCTAGCCACAGCCGCACTATCCTGTCTCGGTGAAACCAGGCACCAACATGAACGCACGAGGCACATGTCAAATGTGGTTTGAGGTGCGGCATCAAGAGTCTGAAGTATTGAAATCGAGCATTGTGGGCCCGAAGGCTCTCCCACGAGAGCGCATCAAAGCAGTCCTTGTCCGGAGCCTGGAGAATCCAATCTTTAGCCAGCGTTGCCTTTTGCTTGACTGGAAGCTTCCAAGAGCTAAGCGAAGTTGTTCTGTGGAGAAGTAGCTTAGCAGGATAAGTAGATCTTGGCATCCTGAAATCGAAGAGTGCAGCAGCAGGTGCCGAGTTCTCCACCGAATCCCTTGCACAAGTCAGGATCCTGGAACAGACTTCCTGGAATTCTCGGCCCTTGCAGCGAACGATCTGTACGATGGCATGGCGCATTCTGCGGGCGACTTCGCTTGAGTCATGCGAATTTGACCTGAACTGTGCCATGATGTGTCATCTGCACTTAGCACGGGCGCACAGCACCCGTCAGTTTCCGGATTTTCCAAGCCTCTCTTGGAGAGGTATTGTCACGGGCGTCGGCCTGGTGCACGGCAAGGAGGTCCTCTTCGTTGCAAACGATGCCACCGTCAAAGGCCGGGAGTGTGGTGCGGATGGCAGGTGTTCCCAGACCCTGAGCGTAATTTCAGCCGGATGCATGAACTCTCGTAGCCTGCTGTGCATGGCAAAGCCTGATGAACTTTCGAAGCCCCCCGCGCGAGGCGGAACCTACTACCCGATGACGGTCAGCAAACACTTGAGGGCACAGCAAATCGCAATGGAGAACAACCTTCCTTGCTCCTCGTTTTCAGCTGTGGATTGGTCTGCTGCAAACGAGGGGAATGTAGTGCAGTAAGGGATGTATTAGGCTGAGATGTCGATGTGGTGGTTCAGAGGCTGTGCCATAGGATGGCAGAAGGCAGCGATCTGCTGGTCAATGGTCAAAGCCGAATGTGAGCGAAGATTTGGCGGTCAAACCGTGGCTGACACCGCGACCGAGCTATGCAATGCTTGCAACTTAAGGTGTTTATCTTGTCGACAGTGGTGGCGCATACCTTCCGCTGCAGGACGAGGTGCCAAGAATCCGCATGCACGCCCTGCACACGACCCGGAGCTGCCTTCCGCTCAGGTATTCCCTGGGCGTCTCCACTTCGGTCGCATCTTCTACAACCAGGCGAGCCACAGCACAGCTGGCAGTAATCTTTCCCTGTGCTGCCACGGATAGGGGTCTGCGGGTGATGCTGTCCTAGCAGTTCCTGCACCGGCAATGTCAGGCCCAAATGTCTCGTCGTGGCTTGCCACAAGCAGCTTGGACTTGACGGCGGTGCTATAGAAAACTCAGGATCATGAAGCTTTGGCCCCACAGGCACGAATCTCCTAACGCACTGCGAGCATTGGTAACTATACTGCGAAAGGCTTCGCGGTTCCAAAAAACTGAGTGTGTCTGGTGAACATCTAGGTTCTAGATTCTAGAATCTAGAGTGTCCGTTGCTGGTAGCGGTGTGTCCAGAAGCTGGGAACTCTGCCTAGACCATGTTGCCGCTCGTGTTGCCTGTTTTATTTTACCAGCAACCACTGAGATCTCCGCGGTCCTTGGATCGTGCACTGCGGGCGGCGCCTACGTCCCTGTGGCTCGGTATGCCAACCCATGTTTGCATGAAGGAATGAAGAGAGAGGCCGCTCTTGTCATCAAGCCAACCCTCCGATACCTTCTGGGGTTACTACGGTAGGTGGCGTGACATTCGACGTTCCTATTTCCCAACGTTAAATTGGGGCCTTTTGACGTCAAGGAAAATATCCCGCAACATGTGGCAGCACCAGTTAGGACAGCAGGACAGACAGCAAGGGGCGTCTGAGAAAAAAAACAAGCAAATAACAACCAATCAGCATACCAGCCATCCAGCCAGCCACTGGCTGGTTTGTTGCCAAAGAAGGAGGGGGTGTGGGCACCTGTGTGTGGGCATTCCCGTGCTGCGAGTGTTTGGATAAGGCTTCAGGCGACGGGAGCCATGGGCTGCGCTCATATCATGGTGGGAAGCAATTCTTGAATCATGCAAACATTTGCATCCCCCCTGCTGTGTCGCCCAGGGTTTATGCTGTTTTTTGACACTCGGAACGGGTGGAGATGACCAAACTGGTGATTCGTTTGCTAATATGCTGCACTCCAGGCAATGTCAGACGAGAACATCATCGTCAAGGGCAGCATGGCATCACGGGGTCTGCAGTGCCAGTGTTGACACATGGTTAAGTAAGTTTCAACAGGCTTGGAACTTGCTCGCATGAACTTTGAAGTTGTTGAAGCAAGGCCGTTTCCTAGCTCCACCAAGCCCAGGCAATGGCACCATCTTCTTGGGCGGGCCGCCTCTAGTGAAAGCCTCCACAGGTGAGGTGGTCACTGCCGAGGCATTCCGAGAGGGGCTTAGAAGTTGGAGGTGCAGCGTTTGCCGGCTTGCCGAGCCGACAGATCCGTTGCAGCCTTCGAAGGGTTTCCTACTCTCTCTCTGGCTCGCTCTTTGTCCCTCTGTAATTCTCACTCTCTCACTTTTATTGAGATTCTGGTGGAAGAGGATCGAACATCGCAAGGATGTTGGGCTCTTTCATTGGGGGTCTTCGTGAGCTGCGCGTGCGTAATGGCTAAAGCGCTACAAGTCCACGGTGACTCCCCCCAAGTGGACTCTGCTGCAGAGCTCACGAAACACCAGCCATCTCCCAAAGTCTAACATCCTGAGACTGAGTCAACCAACCTACTCTGTCTAGGCCAGTCTAGGGCTTCCAGAGGTTCGGACGTTCTCTGCCTCTGACCTCAGTCCCCGTCCTCGGAGGAGCTTGGTGGTGCAGATGTGCATACCTCGAAGTCTGGCGTTGCAGATCACTACGCGGAGAACGAACCGCAGGAATCACCGTCACCGGGGCTTGCCTTTGGACTTTGCAACGTCTAGTTGTCTCTCATTGACCCTAGCTTGACACTTGAAGAGCGTGCAAGCACGTGAACTCTTACTGCTGACCCCCCTGATAACGCCTCCTCAACCTGACAGAGGCCTTGGCCATCTGCCGTGAGGCGCGGCATGTTGTACTGAGATCCTCTTTTTCTACAAGTAAGAAGCAGTGATCGGGCTGTTGCTTGGCCATCGAGTCTCTTAGGTGAGGCATACTTCAGGCGCATCGTTTGGAGTCCTTGAGAGACGGTTCCGTCTCGTTCCCAAGCCAAAGCTTAGTTTGCGGAGTCTTTCACCGTTTTCGGTGTTCATAGCAGCGGTCTGCCGCTAACCCGCTTAGAAACCGATGACTCTTTTTCTCCTTCCTGCATTTCACACAATATCTCACTACTACTCCCCTGATCCATGTTAGAGGACTATTCCGCATTCTGTCTCGGTGACAATTTGCGTCTCCAAGAATGCTCGGTGCCAGAAACGGGTTTACCACAGCTGCTGACTGACTTGTTATGAGCCGTGCAGGCGATAATGTGCCAGACCATGATGTTTGTTAACGGCAGGGTACGGGTATACTCTGCATGGTATACCAGCTTTCCCATACTGCTTGATGCCTGCCCCGAGGTCTTAGCACACGTTGGCGAACCTACGCATCCCAAGCATCCGGAGGCGCCTGTGTTGGCGCGGGCTTCGTCGTCAGGGTGTATTCTCTGAATCCTACTGTACAGTTACTCGTTCGTATACCTGGTTTATGCGGCGGATGTAGACTGTCATCAACTTTCCTGCGATTGCTCGAACCTCACCGTGCCGACCTCCCAAGCTCTGAACGACACGAGCACGGCATTGAGAGGTGGAGCCAGAAGCCCCGCTCTTCGATCCCAAGGATCTTCTAGGGATTATCCCTGAAGACAATTCCAAGGCCAGGCCGAGGGGGCATGGAAAGCTGCTTTGTTTGGGGAGTTGAGCCGAAGTAGCACAGGATCTGCAACCTTGGTTTAGAAGGCAGAAGGTTTACTGACTAACAAACCTTTGCCTTTGACCTTTTACTCAGAACCCATCAAATGCCAAGTTTCAGCCACAAGGCCTTGGAAGTGCGCGAGGCCTGCTGACGTGTGCATGTGGGTGCATGATTGCTTGCTGTCCATGGAGCACTGACGCATGAAGATGTCAATCTCAAATCACCATTCAAAAACCAGCCGCACCTGGCAATTTCCTTGGACAGATCATCACGCGAATCGTGGACGGATCGCGCTTTCACGAGTTCAAGCACAGGCGGCATCTATCACCGGAAGCAACGGTGTGGGGCCTTCGGTTGCGTTGCGCGACCAGGGTAGGTGTATGAATCGACAAACCGACAATGGAAAGTCTTTGTTGCTGCTCCTTCACGTAGACAGCAGCCCTCAAATTCGGCATCCATAGCTCGAACGCCAGCAGCTCGAACATTTTTCAAGAGCTGTGAACTGTCTTCGGGCTGCACAGCGTGTCTCGTGTTGAAAATAGATCCCATGAGCCACCGCCTGTGGCAGACACATGTGTTCTCTGTTCTTCGAAGATTCATTGAGGTTAAACAATGCAGAGTCGGCAAGGTTCAGTGAAGTTCAGCATTCAGTATCGGTAGTCAGCCTTCACACTTCCATGGTACTGAAACAGGTTCGGTACCACTTTGGTGTGCGGTTTTGCGCATATTCATGGCTACCCCGTTGGCATCACGGCTGCAAAGGCTACTGCGCACTGTGTTTTCCAAGGCTTGGGCTTCAACAGGAGGCTCAGAGACCCAAAGAGCATTGCCGTGTTGATGGAACTAAACCCTCACAACCTTCAGAGGCAGATGCAGCAGCTGACATCCGATGACAATTTTCAAAGTGGCCATCAAAGGTATTGTGGCCAACAACGGGATCCTCTTTGGCGAGTCAGCAAGGATCTCGGTGCCATTGTTTGCGGCCTTGTGTCTCGCAAGACGAAGCCGCTGCTGTCACCCAGAACGAGATGTCACCCCTCGCAGCATCTCGCGCTGTTTCGTACCACTTCGTCATTGAGTCATTATGCCTGTATGACAAGCTTGTCAAGACATGTCGCTAGCTTCCGGCGCCGTTTACTTGCAGAATGCTTATTGTTATGTTTATATCAGCAAGTGCATGGCTTGACCGAAGTCAAACAGTTGTGAGTCTTGCTCGGACACCGGGACGATGTCCTACCTGGGCAGTTAGTCCGTCTCGCGACCAAGTATCGCTCAGGCCCAAAAGGGAGCACACTTCGTGCAGCTCTGCGGCCAGCGCCGGATTCCATTGTTGTTTCTCGGCTTAGGCTTGCTGCCGGAATTTTCACATGAAAGCAATCCAGGGTCACGGTTGGCATATCGAGCCCGCGACAAAAACAGCTAGAGAGTCCTTGTCACTCGATTTGGAATTGATGGAGCTTCCTCGATCTTGCCGACAGCAGCGACCGTTTTTGAGCTTGAGACCTCAAGTTTTGTCACGACAACTCTGGTCTAAGCTTAACGAACACGAACTTGGGCCTCGCAGCGATGTTCGATCAAGGTTCTTGCAGAACATCACCGGGTTCATGGTGGGCAAGGCTGTCAGTTCTCCAGTGCAGATGCTGCATGACCTGCGCAGGTTGGATCCAAGACCCGCCACTTCTTGAGATGTTTTATGTGACAGCACAATAGTGGCTGCCAGCATCGTTGCAGCTTTGTCCACATGAAGGGTCAACTTTCGTCGCATCCAATCTTAGAGCACACTGCTGTTTAGTGCTTTCGTGCAGGCCAAGCCTCTTCAAGCCGAACTCACAAAAAGCTTCCGACACCATGTGGAGGCTTACGAGAACGGTGGCATTGCACGAGACGGAGCCAAGATGGTCAACGCCGTTGCGTGCGTGGATGTGCCCAAGATGCCTGGCCTGCGATCAGATTTGGGCAAGACCAAAGCCACGGGGGGGTGCAGTCGACAGCATGAGATTTAGATGGAGCCCGTTGGGAATTTTAGGTGCAATGTGGCACTTCGCATTCGTGCAGAAATTTCAGGTATCGCAAGAGTGATTTTGTCGAGTTGCTGTTGCATCGCTTTTCGTGTAGGTGATGCACTTCACTTAATGGCGATGTTACTTGGAGCTTCTACTCCTCTGCTGGAGTTATTGCTGTATCCGAAGTCTTCTGAGAGTTGCTCCATGTCCTCGGTCTGCTAGGATCACAGTGATCATTGCCGGGAGCCATGGTGCCGGGAACTACGGTATGTGCCTGGTCTCAAAGCGGTTTGGGCTGGCTTTGAACCACAACTCGGGCACCCCAAAGAAAAACGGTTCATAGTCCTGCTAGGCCAGCATCATGCGGGCTTCAGCCCTGGAATATTCAAAGCCAAGCTGCCACACACTGTTCGAGAACGAACGGAGCTTCTTGAATTCCGTACTGCCTCTATGGGAGCTTGCGTGCAAAAGTTTACGGTTGTGCCTTCCCCTGCTAAGCACAGGAGTGTAGGCAGTTTTTCAGTTTTCTTTTTCAACTCCACGGTCCTGGCCCCTCCCATCGAGTCCTCTCTTTGCTCGCTTTGCAGGTGTGGCCGCGCTTTTGACCCTCGCTTTCTCTTCATGTGGCCCAATGCTCGCGCCTTCGACGGGGTTTTGTGCTTCACATGAGAGCCGCATGTCTGTGGCGGCATCGTGTCTGTTCTCAAGCCAGGCATCGGTGTGATGGGTGGGTCGCAGGCGGCAGAGGTGCTCACCACTGTCAAGCAGGCACCGCTGCGTTCTGTTGCAGATGTTGCAGTTGCTTGCGAGGCTAAAACACAATGGCAAGGAACCGAAAGCGGGAGCTCTTTGCTGTTAGCTTTGCTGTTAGCTTTGCTGTTAGCTTGAACATCGAAAGTATCAGCCTCGGAGTGCATCTATCAAGCCGCTCAAGCCTTTGCCCAGCTCTGTGTCTCTGTGCCTCACCTTCGCAGCCAATTGCTCTCGTTCGTCTCTCCGTCTGCCCGTCTTTCGACCCTCTTCTCTGTCGTTTCTTTCTGTCTTTGTGTTTAGCAGGACGTGTGCATGTGCATGTGAACCAAAGCATAAATGCGAAAATCTCTAATCCCGTCCTCTCCACTCCCCTCTCCTTCCTCCCCCTCGCTCTCGCGCTCGCCGCCTGCTTGATCACCTTTGCCCCTGGCCTTTCTCCCTCCATGTCTCATAGGGTGCAACACTGAAGTGTTCTTTGTTTTGCTCTCCGCTCGGAGGCACAGCTGAAGCGACAGGGCAAGCCCGAGATGACCGAGCAGCAGTTTCCCAGCGCAACAATAGTCCGGGGTTTTCATCGTTTCTGTCTTCAGGAGCCGTGGCTCTCCGGGGGTGCTTCATGCATGGATCTGCTTTAAGTTCGAAGCAAATTCGGCAGAAAGGCATCGCACCATTCTTGAAGGAGTGGACTCCTTCCGCAGATACTTGTCTGCCCACTGAACTGGCTGGCACAGGTTTCTCGAGCTGACCCACCACTCAGGTCTCAGTCAAAGTGATGCAATGCTGTGAGCACGGCCGTGGCGAGACCTTCAATACATGACATGGCGCACAGATGCTACCTGCGCTCCTGGCTATGGTGAAAGCATTGTTGGATTGCCCTGCGTCCCGGCTTGTCTGTACCCGCCTTGCGTGCTTCCTCGCCCTGACCGACACTGCAGTGGGGCAATGACGACGAAGCGAATTGCAACACGTTGAATTTGTCACTTTTCCAGCTGGGGCGCTGATCCACGCAAGTTTTTGCTCCATTCTTAAAGACCAGCACATCAGGGGCTCAGCCTTTTTGTTAATGGGCTGCGCAGGGACTTCCCAAGTGCCTCCTGGAGTTTGCCATTCCTGGGCAAATAGCTGTTACGGACGTTTGACCAGTGGACTTTGGCTTTGTGCCCCTGGCCACATGCCTCGCAACAAAAATTGCCGTTCTTGGCGGAAGCAGGCGCTAAAGGTGGTTGGCCGCAAGATGCCGCAAGACAGCGCAGGCAGGGGTGCGCTTTGGAGACCATGAGCCTCTCCAAGAGTGCTCGTTTCTTGCTGTGGAACCTATCTCAGTCTTATATTAATTCTGTCTCAAGCTGGGCGCAGATGTAATGTAGTCGTCGGCTCCTCAGACAGCTTTGAGCAAAGTATTCTGAGACACTCTTCTGTCTGTGTAAGCGACAGAACAGGGGGTGTCTGCATCAGCCATTGACGGCACACGACGAAGCACATGTCAAGACCCTACCCGGCTATCCATGCGGCTCGATGCCGGCAGAGGTTATGGACATGAGCTGACACGGAGTCTTGTGAAGAACCCGCTCTTTTGAGGCTGCAGGACTTCAAGCAGCCGATTCTGGACAAGTATGAGACGGAAGGTGGGAGTTCAGTTTGCACAGCTGCCTCACTTGTCAGGGCCCTCATGTCTCAAGCCAAGACGCGTCTGGAGTTGGCTTGAGCGGTGGGCTTATGGCCGTGGAAGGAAACCCCTACCACTCGACCTCTCGGCTGTGGGACGACGGAATCATTGCCCGGGCCTCGGGACCGACCCTGCATCCGTCTGACTCTTAAAAAACCGAGCGCGCCGGAGAGCAGTGCGTCGGGCTTTATCTTAGCCTTCGCACGTGGTTCGATCGCTCTGATCAACATACGCGTGACGCACCTGTGCTGAGGATCCTCGTGACACGCGGCAGGTGCTCGGCAGATGCTTGTGCCTGGGCGATGTCTTGAACGTGAGCACATGCAACTGTGTGCTCCACCGGTTCTGTCTAATTGCAGTCAGAGGCACAGAGGTCCTTGCTCAGTGACCAGGAATGCCATGTACTTTTTCAGGGCAGGTCTTTGATAAACCACCCGACACCTGCGTGCACATGTTCAGTAGCCGTTACTTGGCTTGATCCCCCATACTTATTGTCGGTAAGGCCTACCGTTCCCGCTTGTTGTTTGCGCATCACCAAAAGGCGCATTTGCAGCCGAGCGCCCGGTGAAGTCTCCACTGGTGGCTTCGGCGTGTTCCGCATGTGAGGCCAAGCTTGGACGGGAATCGACGGCCTTTCAGCCTGAGAAAGCAAACCTTCAAGATTTAAGCAACATGCCATTAAGAACAAGGTATCAGTACGAGGCCGTGCATCTAGCCACATTCACCAAGCAGGCATGAAGCCACGAATGTGCGAAACCAACGAAACCACACCTGTTGTGTGAACTGGAGGGAGGCCGAAAGCACGGAAGTGTATCGCATGTTTCTCATTTGGAAAATGTTTTTTCTTTGTCGGTTCAAATACATTTATTGGCGTTCGTCTCTGACGGCCGGCCACTTGGAAACTTTTCGAAATGATTGAAGGTCATAAAAAGGAGGAAGATTACGGCGGAGTCAGGACATTTCAGTGCGTGAGTTTTCAGGGCAATGAGCTCGTGTAGACTGGCTACTGTCAGCCCACCGCAGCCTACAGATAACGCTGTCAACTTTTTGCGGGCTGCTTTTTCGTGATTTTCCAGGCGCGAGGACTATTCCCGCATAGACATCCAAGGGCGTAGTAGGAATACACAAAGATAGGCAACCCTTCCTGCTTGGAAATGCATTTTGTTGACAACTGAGAAATGCCAGGAGCAGCAGCCGGCTTCAATTGTGCTTCTATCCCATAGTTCCAAAATCATACAGACGGCGCACGCAGAGATACACACAAATTCCCTAGGAAGCAGTAGCTTCACGGCTGCAGGCTTCAGCGATCTGAACACATCACAACACGTCCCCTGGGCGCAGGAAGTTGAGACAACATCCTTTGCAACGTGGTCGTTGGGGCTTGCCAGGTTTCCGAACCCAACAACACTCTCAACAGCAAGACATGATCGACTGGACTCTGAGCCACTGGTCACTAGTTGCTATCAGAACCTGGAAAGCGATCACGCCGGCATCATGCTGCATCATGCTTCAGGAGGGAGACTTTGCAGCTATGGAGCAGCGAGAGCGAGCATCATGAAACCATTAGGAAATGAGAGGAATCTGTCGGAGTCAACCGACTTGCGAGGTGTCTCGCACCTTCTCGCAGCAGAAAACTCTGAATTTCGTGTTTCGAGGGCACGGGGATTGCCAGGAGCTTTCGGTTTCGCGACACATCTTGACTTCCGGTTGAAATTGCAGATCGCATCGTGCAGTGCCCGCTTGAAGCCACACTGCTTCAACGTGAGCCTTTTGATGCTGATGATGCTCGCTATCGCTGGCCCATTTCCCAGCTCTCTCTCGTCTGGTGCTCATGATGCTTGCCCTCGGTGCTCCATAGCTGAAAAGTCTCCCTCCTGAAGCAAGGATGCTTGTCCTTGCTGGTTCATAGTTTGACGCTGATGCTGCTAGCTCTCGGTCGTCCATTGCATGAAAGCTACCCTTCTGATGCTGATGATGCTCGCTCTCGCTGGTGCTGATGCTCATGATGCTGGTTATCGCTATTTCTCGCTGCTCCAAAACTTAGTAGTCTCCTTCCTGAAGCATGATGCTTGCTCTTGTTGGTATATGGCCAAAAGGTCTACCTGCTCCCACTGCTTCGAAGTCAGCCGTTTTTGTGCTGACGATGCTTGCTCTCGCTGCCCCATTTTCTACGGTTTCTCTTCTGATGCTCACGATGCTGCCTCTCGCTGCTCCATAGCTTAAATGTCTCCGGCTTGAGACTGATGCTGCTAGCTCTCGGTGGTCCATTGCAGGAAAGCTACCCTTCTGATGCTGATGATGCGCGTCGCTTTCACATCCCCATAGGGTAGAAGTCTCCCTCCTGAAGCATTGTGCTTGTTCTTGCCGGTGCATGGACTCCAAGTTTCCGTTCTCATACTTACTGAGTCTCGCTGCTTTATGTTTTTCGCATTTCCCTGCTGATTCGGATGATGGTCGCTCTCGCCGGTTTATGGCTGAAGAGCTGGCCATGGATGCTTACGGTTGCTGTCACATTGCTTAAAACGTCTCCCTTCTTATGCTCGTGATGCTCGCTCTTGTAGCTCCATGGCCAAGAGTCTCGCGTCTGCTTTGCATGATGCCTCTATATGCCTCTAGATGACAATTCAGCCCCTGAAGGTGAAGGAGTGCACCGAGCTTGAGGGCTCCACCCGCCGATGTGCGGCACTGTGCAGTGGCTGGGACGAGGGATGGAAAGTCTTTATGGTTGATCTTCTGATGCCGACGGTAGGTTGGGAGGGCGTTTGCAGCTCAATATGTCAAGAGGACTGAGTACCGAGACCGCTTCGATCTGCCTCAGCCTTACCGAGGACGCTTTCCCCTGCGAGCTGTTTGTGATCGCACGGGCCAGAGCTGCGTCCGAAAATTCGGTGGCAATGGTTCAGAGCCAGCATCGAAGCCTTTTGCAATGTTGCCCTTCTCTTTCCTGCCATGTCCATGGACCGGTTTACGGGTAGAGTTACGAGTGGCTTCCGTAAGTTAGTAAACCCAAAACCCTAAACCTTAAATCCTAAAGCAAACCTTAAATCCTAAACGCTTAACGCAGCCGGCCTTCAATTCGGGCCGGGCCAAGCAGGCAACTTGCCGGTATATCTTGAACGCGATGCACGTCTAATCTTTGCTGCGAAAAAGTTTGAAATGCAGGATTCTGAGTCGTGTTTGCACTTCATCTCAGAGCCAGGTCTTCGATGCTTGTGCTGTGGCTGCTTTGCATCAATGCACGGTGCCCCCCTTTGTGTTGCATTTGGCGACCGGGCGGGCTTCTTTTGCTTACATAGATTTGAATGGGGCAGAGCTCTGGCATCAGGAGCGAGAGCTATTAAATGAAGTGCTAGAAGCCACTGGGTGTCCCACGACAGCCAATCGTGGTTACACCACCTATCGAAAATAAAGAGCCGAGTGTGTAAAGCATGCGCAAGTGCAGCCACGAGAGCAACTCTTCCACGTACTTTCGTTTCGTGGCGTAGTCGTGATGCCGACGACGTCGGAACTCTGCTTGCAACCCAAACATCATTTGTATACTTGCAGTGCCTTTGAAAGTGGCCTCGTGCCCATGTTGGAGATTTCTCAAAGTCGTCAGGGCACGGAATTGAGAAAGATCCACACTGCCCAGAGCTATGCTTGGGGGCGCCCGCACTTTAAATGCCGAGCTCTCTCTTTAGGGTGGACTTGTGCAGGTTGGGCTTTTCAGCCCTTCAGCATCAAACCCAGAAGGCAACTTTGCGCGAGACGCCATGTCCGAAAACCTTCTCTGAAGCTCACGGTGTCAGTTGATTAGAACATACCAGAGATGAGGACCATTCAGCCAGCCCGAACAGGCGTCGATGCTCGGGGATGCGTGACTGTGGAAGAGAGGGCGAGGGAAACCATAAGACCACAAAGGCTTTGGGTTTTCTTGCAGTATGCCCGTGGAAGACCTCAACATGCCAAGCTGCATGTGAGCACCAGCATTATGCAGCATTAATCACAAATGGGATGTCACACCATCAAGGTTGTGGGGTGCCGAAGGCTTGTCCAGCATCGCCCCTTCCAGGGTGCAGCAGATGTTATCAGACTGCACGTTGAAGCCCCATCCCCGTATCGACAGCAAGCAAAGTTTTCTGGAAGGTGTCGACGTTTCTACCAACCGGTTACCGCTTATAATTGGAGCCTCGGCACTTCGAATGCGATTTCAAGCTACACTACGTTGTCTATGTTAATCCAAGAGTTCTTGACAGTTTTAAAGTCATCCTCTAGTCTTAAACACAAACCCAAGCTCTTCCCCGAGACCTGTTCGGAATACAAAGTTAAGGGGAAGTGATTATGCAGAATAGTAGTAGTCTATCAGTTAAAGTTGCGTCTCGACATCAGTAGTAAGCAAGGCTTTCTGGCTGGTCGCGACATGAAAACCAGAAGTTGCATGCATGTTTCGTTGAGAGATCTTTTTGGATGCGATGATCGTTCCATATCTGTTGACAGCTGCAGGTTCTGAGAAAGGCAGAAGATACGACAGCTAGCCTAGCAGTGGGGTCTGGATGTCAGGAACACGTTGATGCAGCCTCACCTTCAGCCTGCCTGCTCGGGATAGAAGCGACTGAGCACGTGTGTCTGTTGTTGCCGCGTTACATGCTGCTGATGCCGCACTGTTCAGGGACATGAAAACCTAGCGATATAGCTTCAAGGGCAGGACGGCAGCAAGCGAACATGCCAAGACACCCGTTGCGGTTCAAACTCCGATAGGCGTGCTTCAACACCTGTTTGCATGCTTCGAGCTCCCTGCAAGACCCCACAATGACCTCAGGCCCGCTGTGATCCTTTCGTCGATGGCCAGCAAGCATGGCCACCAGCATGAGCCTGATGCATCGTGGCTTTCTTGGAGCTGCTTTCTGGCAGACAGTCCAGGTCCAGGCCTGGGCCAACTTCTGACTAAGCATCAGTTGAACTAATTGGGGGTGCCCTGAACTCGGACTGCGGACCCGCCTTCATGACTCGCACATCCATTCAGTGGAATTCTGTAATTCACAACCTCTGCTGGTTACCAGGTTTCAGCACAGGCGCCCAGCAGCTGCCGCGGCAAGCGCCTAGGCGTTCAGATTGAAAGTGCTTCGCTTCCCGAGGGTCTTTTCTGCTCATTAGGGTCTCAAGCGGGCTCCAGTTCCGAACACGCAAAACATGCGTCTGCAAAACATGCGGCAGTGCTGACTTGAGAGTAGAAGCTCAACCTCCAGTGCTCTTCCGTGTCACATTATCAAGTTACGCCCAGACCATGCTGACATGTGTTACAGTGCTTCCCCAACTTCAGAGGCACAAAATAGATGTTCACAGGAAAGCAGCCGTCTCAGCGAGTGAGTTTCATGCGGCAGCACGCAAATGGTGACCTGCAGGATTGACATTCTCAACCCACAAGACTGTTGGCGCATGCGCAAGCCTCCAAGCTCTAAGGCATCCGACGAACCGATACAAGCCGAAAGACGACAGCCTTCTTCAATCGGCCAAGTCAATGCCCATCGAAACCCGAATGTGTAGAAGCCGGCAACCTTGGCTTCAGCATCACACACCGGGACCGGACTAAGTCGTCAACCTAGTGCGAGCAGCTCGCCAGGTGAGGCCTGCGAGGTTGATGCGGGACGCCTTGCTGTTTTAGCCCCGGAACCTGCGCATGTTCTCTGTTTGGTGTGTGCCCTAGGGTTTCATGTGGAGGAGTCAATGGTGTCGGCCTGGAACGAGATCGCAGCACATGTTCCCGGCGCATAAACCGAGAGCACGGATTCGCACGGCATCGCATGGTTCGGGTACGCTTCAGAGGTCGCTGCGCAGCGTCAAGGTGTCTGTGCTTCGCTGCAGGCCCCCGGGGTGCAAGTCAATTCCGCGGGGTTCTCGTCTGCAAGATGCGTCAGAGCATCAGAGGTAGTCCAACTAACAAGTTCCAAGTCTAATGGTGGGGCAAAGTCCGTGGGAGAACTAGACTTCGGTTTGTTGGCGGGAAATCCGTCGATCACCGTATCAGGCTCAAGGTTCTGTTCAGTTTCCGATCGGAGTTGGAGGCCTTTGCCCCTTCATCTTTGTTTGGAGCGCCAAAAGATCATGGTCGCTCACTAGGGTCTCCTTGCAGGCACCGCAAAGCGGCTCAGAGCTTGTGTGCCTCGCGTGTGGAAGTGCCCGGGCCTGCAGCGAAGGGATGTCTCCGCTTGGTACGGTAGAGGCTTTGCCAGGCAGGCCGATTGCGTACGAATGCAGTGTCAATCACAGCTTAGACTGACGTGCTACCGTCGCACCTTTTCCAGAGGCTATGCTTCCATGGATTTCGCTGACCGCCTCGGCAGCGAGCTAGGTCAGCTCGGAACTTGGGGTGCAGCTCGGCTGAAGCAGAGTGGAAGCAACAAAGCAAGTGCCAATGATTCGCTGTGTAGGAAGCAGAGCCGGCACACCGCAGATGTTTCAAATCCGGCAGACCGTGTCTCTCAGGCAAGATAGTTTTTACTTCAGCGAGTGGTCTCTGCACGGTACAGCGCAGTAGCACCTGATGCGCCCTTGCAGCAGCTTGCGTCGCGTCCTGTGCAAGTTCAGGTGCCGAATCCTTGAGCCAATGCAGAAAACTCATTATGAATACAGCGGCGCAGTGTATTCTGAATCCTACACCCGAATTCCATCCCAAAGCGATGCAGCACTCAAAGAATGATTGCTGGTCGTGTTTGCAAGTGCAACACAGCCGCATGCCGTTTGTCTTGAAAGATTGACTCACTTCACGCAGGCCCTGGGTCCAAGTCAGTTGTATTCACGGTCCCTTTGGGCCCTTTGGGTGGTGGGTTGCGGGCAATGCCTTGCAGCAGTAAACGAGGTCCTGGCCGTGGGCGCCACAATGGGCTCAGTTGTCACTTGTGGTTCCCGACTCGGATTCCTCTCTCAAACCTGTTTCTGGCACTGACATAGGTGTCAAGTGAGAGTGATTTGCGATTTGGTTTCTGAGACCTCTCAGAGGGAAAGTAATCCCGTCCCCATGCAAAGGTCTGCTCACCGTGGCATGGCACCTGTGGAGTCTCTTTGAAACACCCTTCGAGGACTCCAGGGTTGCAGGCTGTGGCCTGGCTCAGTTCCATCTTATTCAACTCTACACACATGAGCACTCAACGAGGGGCTGCTGCGGACCCCAGGAGCTATCCATGGAAGCGGATGACTTGGTGGAGGAGTACAATATGCAGAGGCAGCAGAGGCTAGCCGAACGGCTTTCATTCACAAGTCCATGAAAATTAAGCAGGATCGAGAGAACCAGATTTCCTTTGGAGCCAGCTCTCTCGCCGCGTATTGTGCAGCATCGAAAAGGAGACGGTCTTCCGGATGTGAGGACAATTCTCAACCTTCATCTCACTTTGAGAACTCTCCACCTTGATAGTAGACTGGCTCCATGGCGAGGTCGCTTCCGGCACGCCCGGCCGCGGACGTGGAGCTCGGACAACTCCTTGGGAAAAGCAGCAAGGCAAGAAACGGTAGATGAGTCGATCCATCGGCTCGTAGGCTCTATTCACAGAAGCTTATCCCCACCAGGCAGTGCGCCGTGAAACGTGCTCCAGGACTCCCGATTAGAACATCGGATTCCGGCCGAGATGACCCCAGCACAGACTGCGCAGGACCTCGTCGGGTGCGAGACGCAGCGGGTCAGAGCTCCGGGAAGCCGGGCCAGGCAGGTCCCATGGCTGGGGATGGGACCGGATGGGGTTAGCGGCCTGCAATCCTTGCAGGGCGGCGCAAGCCGGCTGCCGGCGAGGCTCCAGCAAAGAGCTCGATGCTCGCCACTGCAGGCCGTGGTCGTGGGAGGCCATGGCACTCTGAATTGCGGGAACGCAGTCAGTCACGAAATGGAGGGAAGACCACTGTTGCAAAGAAGGGTAGGCATACAGATCGATAATGCGCTAGATTCCGCTAGGTTGCATCCTGTGTTGTTTGTGGATTTTGCTGATGTGCTTGCACACACGTCTTGCACAAGAAGTTCTGCATCGCGAAGATCTGCTTGTTGTTTTGCAGGGCCATGGCACCGCCCCGAGACTCGAAGTGGCTGCTGTTTCTCGGCGAACGGGCTTTAGATGTTGGTAAAGACATGTGGCATGCAGCCTTGAACTATTGCTGATGTCCGGGGTTGGCTTTCTCACCTGCCAACGAATGGTGGTAGGAATGACCAAGTATTCCTGCAAACAAAAGTTTCTGTGTTGTGAACGTTCAGTCTTGAAATTCCATGTGGTGCTTTCCAAAGACACCTGTCTTCACATCCAACATGCACACAGCATCACCCACCACGAATCAACAAGCACAACTTGAGTGCATCCTGCATAGGAGATGCCGCCCAACAGGATCCACCACATGGTTGACCTTCCATATTCCATGTCTCCTGGACTTAGAGATCCCTCTCGCCAAAAGCTTCAAGCTGCTTCATTCCATGATGCAAGATTTTTTCGCTCCGCCCAAGACCCGAACACAGCACGGAGCCAAAGAAGCGATCACCAAAGTCGCCTTCAGGCTTGAGGCAGCGTTGGACCGAGACCAGCACACGGAGGACCTGCACGAACGGGAGCGTGCTGGGTCCCTTTTGCACCAGCATTTCGGTGGTCGTCCATACGGATGTGGTGACGGCAAGCTGCTCGGCAACATGCTGGGACGAGCCTGAGACCTGGAAAGTCAGAAAGCCACCACAATGAACAACGAAGCCGACCCAAGTGGCGCCCCTACATCCTCCTAAACTATATACCCTCGCAGGACGATGGCTTGGGTGCCCGGGCCATGCCAGTGAGCATTGGGAAAGTCGAGCGGTATCAAGGCCTGGACCGGGACAGCACTGGCAGCCGAGAGCCGGGGTTTGCACTCGCGGCTTCGCGGCTTTGCTTTCTTCTGTGTTTCCCCATGAATTCTTCACGGCTCGAAGGCCCTTTGGAGCTACTTAAGTTTTTTGGCGCTACTGCTACTTCGCCAGTGTTTCTCTTGTCGAGAGTCTAGTTGCCCATTGGTTTTGCCGTAGTCTCTGCCACGCGCAACACACGAGTGTGTGTGTGTGTGTGTATGTGTGTGTGTGTGCGCGCGCGTGCGTGCCCGCAAGCGGGTGTGTAATCGCCTGGACATGGCGACTGTAAGGCATATTGGTGTGCCATTCCTTGAGTCTGGCAGGCCGGGGCAGAACCCTTCCCCAAACGGATCATCGGGTTTAGCATGCCATTCCTGGTGTCGCTTACGCACCAAACTCAATCGTCATCTCATGTCTCTGTTCTTTCATCGCTCGTCCCGTCTGTCGCTCGTCGCAGTTACTCGTGCCAAGTCAAAGTAGAAGCAAGTAAGTAAGTAAGTGTGTGTGTGTGTGTGTTTGTGTTAAAGTAGCACGAGAAAATCAAGCAATGGATTTTGACATGGCATATCGTTGACCTGGGCCCAGTGCAGTCTTGGACGCAAGTTGCCCATCACGCAGCGAAGACATCAGAAACAGGGTGGCAACACCCAGTCGATACCGTGGCAACAACACGCCGGAAACAGTTCAAAAGCTTGCGGAGAGGTACAATATGTGCGCAGAGCGCACCAAAAATATGAAGTTATTATAAGTTACTGTTCTTGAGGCTTGGGTTACAATGGGTTACAAAGCATTGGCCGTGATTCAAGCAACTATGGCAAGCAAGCTGATGTTCGAAACCCAGCAGCAAAGTTGAGTTTCAATCATTGGCGGGAAAATCTCTGAGAGAAGCCCTCCCTCAACGATCACCGAAGCCAGCCGTATTCAACGAGACTCTAACCAACACGAGCCCAAAAAATCTGCCCAAAAGTGATCCTGCAGATGGGCCCTCATCGCAGTTGTGTATTGCACACGCCCCGCGCTTTCCAGTCCCTCCCTCTTGCAGGGGCAGCGCCCTCAGCGACCACGGCGGCGCCGCCGCCTACCCGCTGCCCACCACGGCCGGCACGGTGACAGTGCCTGAGCCTGACTCAGCGACGGCCTGGCCTGGTTTCGTTGGTAGGTCCGAACATAACAAATAAGCCGGCACAAGTCCGGTCTCCTGCTGTACAAGTACCAGCCGTTTGCATGCTAAAGCAGCGAACCGTTTCACAGCTTGTTCAATATGAAGACCTCGGCATCTTGCGCGGACAAGTTTGGAGGTGGGCTTCGCTATCTGAATGGCTATTGCAGACTCTTGCACGGATGATGGGTTTTTCAGAAATGAAGGCCTGCAGGGCCGTGCTTTCGAAAATCGGCAGTCGAGGCTAACCCGGCTTGCAACCTTTCTTTTGCTTGTTGCGAACTGTTACGTGGTGAAGGCAGATATCCGCGGCAACTAGTGACGAGACGGATGACTTCTAGTGCAGCTTGACGGACTAGATACGAGTCTTCGCTACAGTTCTGCACAAGCACGTCGAAGTGTTAAACATGCGCCCGATATGTTGGATGTGTGTTTTGCAGAAGGGCCGTTTTGAATAGTTTTTGCAGCAGTGCAAATCTCCCTTGACAGTCTCAGATTGAATCGCAGTGTTTGATCAGAAAGCTGCTCAAACAGAGACAGGACACATTGTCATAAGGCGCTGTCGACATGCCGCCCAGGTCGAATTGAATTGCTCCGAGCCAGCCTAGATTTGTACCCCTAGCTCTGCCGCCGCTGCTTCTGCAGCTGCCGCTGTGCAATGACACTGACGTGTTTGTCATGCCGCTGGGGACTCAGATCCGTCTGTGCAACTCGTACGTCCTCATTTGCAGGCGAGGCGGCTTTTGCAATACGTCTCATGCTTCACATGGACCGACTGAATGAAGTTCACACGACAGAAACGGAAAACTAAGTGCATTGGTCCGTTGAGCTGCCTGTGTTCCACCCCAGCTCCAGCCCTGAATCAACATCTCGAGACTCTGTTTGCCTTCTTGCGAATAGATGTTATTGGGTTGCAGGATGGTTTTGTGGTTGGATGTGGTTGGGATCTAGAGGTGTGCTTTGCCTTTCAGTTGGTGGTCCACCGACAGCCATTTGCGATTAGCCCTGACGAGCCAAAATTACTAAAGACTGGTCGTGTACGAGCTTTACTTTCCTCCTCATCACGAGTCAACAGTTGACCCCTCGCATAAGACCTAGCTGTCGAATCTGCAGGTCGTGGGTGGCAGAAGACAACTACGACATCTTTACTTTGTTGCGAGGCAGACTTGTGTTTGGAGGGGTTGGTGGTCGGCTTTCAGCCAGAGGATTAAACTCGCCGATGGCTTCACAGGTAGACATCGCCAAGCCTGAAGCAATGCTAGGACTTTTCGGGGCCCGTGGCTTTATCGATCCTCGGCTGCGCCTCATCACGACAGCCCGCGGACGCAGTGTCGTCACGGCTGGGAGCTTGCCCCTTGGACAGACAAGGTGCGCTTCGTGTGCGGTTGTGTTTGAGGTGCGTCAAGGCTACTTTTGCATGCTTGGGCATAAAGTGTAGTGGCAGACAGTGAGGTGAGGATCTGTTGCTCCTCTCCCCAAGCCACAGCTCAGGAAGCGACACGAGGTGCTTTTCCAGGCTGGTAACGGGTAATAGAGGTTTTGGGGAAGTGGGCTGCTGGGAAGCTTGACTCGACTTGCAGCAGGCTTTCCCAAGCCCACTGTTCTTTTTTGAATACTGCTGGTCGTGGACTTCGGTCTCAACGCCTTCAATCGTGAAGCTCGGGGACCTCGAACCAGACTTGGTGATTCCGGGAAAGCAAAGGGCTGGGTATTCATTTTTATGCAGCGTTTTTTTTTCTTGCGCTCTTCGTGTTCGTGCTCCCGCCGCCATGCCGGGGCCATGGTTTCAGGCGTTATGTGAATGGTCTTTCTTTTTATGCTCCTGGGTTCCTTCTCCCTATTCGCGCCTGGCTTTTTCTTATGCGAGTCTGGCCTTTCCTTATGCTTCCCTCATCTTTTTCCATCCGCCCCCCCTCCCCCCCCCCGCTTCACCCGTTCCCACATCTTCCCACCCTCCCCTTCTCCCCCCTCCTCCTCCCCCTCTCCCCAACATGTATTGGACCTGACCTTGGAAGGAGCAGGCAGCCCGACCGCGTCTGTCACAATCTTTTGCAGATCAGGGTTTGCATTCAGGGCAAGAACCTAGCGGTCCCCTGGGATCAATTTAAAAACAGTTCTGTGTTTGAGGGGCTCGCGTGTCTTTTTCATTTTTTTCAGTTTTTCAATGTTTTGCATTCAAGGCAGAAACCTGGGTTTGCATAGGTCCAAATCTTGCTGCAAAAAGAAGACCCTAGAAATGGGACTTCCCCAATAGCAAAAGAAGATCCTATCCCAACAGCTTGCTGCAAAAGAGGACCCCTCAACGGAACTTTCCCAATAGCTTGTTGCAAAAGAGGACCCCTCAACGGAACTTTCCCAATAGCTTGTTGCCAATCAAGTTGAAACGACTCGTCGGCCAGCAAACCAAACAGCGGGGGCGGGGAACAGGGGAGGAGGGTGTGTGGGATTGTTCGGGGGCAGGGCGGCGAGGTGCTTTGGGTGTGGCGGGAGTGTGTAAGTTGTCACCAGTCAGATTGGGGGGGGGGTGGGGGGGAGTGTGGGGTGAAGGGAGCGGCGGTGCGGAGGGGGGAGGAGGGAGCTTAAGCAACAGCCAGGTTCGCATAAGGAAAGGCCAGATGAGAATAAGAAAAAGCCATGTCCGCATAAAGGGAGAAGCCCACAGCAGAAGGAAAAGCCGGTCGCATAAGGGGAGAAACCCATAGCATGAGAAACACACGCCCGCAAGCAAGTTGCAAAAGCCTGGTGCACTCCACTGCTACGCGCTGTAATCGACATCACCTGCAGGTGCCCCTGAAGTCTATGCTGCGACGCAAGCTTCCGTGGCGGGAGGCACGCGGTTTGCTGTCTGGCCTCGGCCACTCGGGCGACCTTTATAATATCGGCCAGGGCACACATGTAACTAGTTGACCTGACATGTCCCCCACCTTGTACCCACCTTGTCAGGCTCCGCAGCGACGACCTTTTGTGTTCAGGTGCTTTTCTGTGTTAGCCAGGTTCAGAGAGGATTTGCCCAGTCGCCGGCCCCCAGCGGGGTGCCTGGTGAGTGCATGACCTCCCTTCTTAGTGCAGTGCCGGCAGCGTGAGGGTTTGAGATTTTCAAGCTACAGTACCATCTCGCTGATCTCCTTGTGTTGCTTTGTGTCCCTTAGAACCAAATGTGAAGGGGTAGGCAAAGGAGTCGAGGTTAGCTTCTTACACTCATCTTGGGGCTGCCTGTCGCAAGCATTTTGCCATGACAGAGGCCCTTTCAAAGCATGGTCCTACTTCACGAGGCCCTGAAGCAGCCCTCAAAGCCAGAACTGATGCTAGTTGAACTCTGATCCAAAGGAGGTTTAGATTGAGATCGAGATCTTTCCATGCTTATCTAGATGCTAGACATTGTTGGGTTCTTGCTATGGTAGGTGTCCTCCAGGATTCTGCATGGTGGTTTGCGCATTGACAGGTGCCCCTGTTCAAAGCCAGCCGCAAAGGTCTCTCAGAGGAGCCTGCAACACTCCTGCAACCGACTTGTGTGGCACGGCTGACTCAACGTTTCATGACGGCTCTGCCTGGACATCCTGAAATGTGTCAGGACGACGAGATAATTCTGTTTCTGGCGGCCCTGCGGAAATTCGGGGTCTACTCGGAGTGGTTCCCCCATTCGGGAAGTGGCCAGAGTACTTTTCGCAAGGCTTCTGGGAACCATTGTTTGGGGTTTGGGGCCTTTATGGGGTCACAGGTTTTTCTCCTTGAATCGTCAATTCTGTAAGAGGGGCATAGAGAGGTGTTAGATTCGATATCTGGAGAATTTCTGCGGATAGCTAGTACAGTTGCTTCTGAGGAAGCCCTTCGGGCAGAAACTCATCTTCAAACTCAGACCATAGATGCTTCTCGGAGCCTTGAAACCCCCTGGTAGTCTTGCATAAGATCATCATCCCAACTTCGCAAATGTTAGAGCCGCGGCCACGGCTACATGTCTAACGTCACAGAAAACACCCGATGTGCAATTTCTACCACACTTGCGAGCTCGTCAAAAAAAGCATCCGACTGTCTGGGAACCTAAAGAAGCCTGGCGCAGGCCCAAACTGCAAGAGCGGGTCCCAAAAGAAGCTCATTAGTTCTTTTCCTACTCATGTAGGTGGTGTTAGAATGTGCGGGAGTCGAAGTCTATGACCCAACTGCTCTGAGCATGTTGCCAAGAGCAATCAATCGCTTACCCTTTCTCCAGGTACCGCTACCTGCGAACCCTTCCTCTCGAAGAGGCCTCCACACCACTGACCTGGAAGCCGAATGAGGCGCACGCCTTGGAAGAGCGCATTGAAGATTCGCAGGTGGTGATGTAAAGCAATGCAAAACATGCGACTGCGGCAAGCGTGCCAGCCCGTTCTGCAGTAGTAGTGGCCGGTTCTTGCTTCCCCATTCATATCCACGAATGAATGCCATATACCTTTGCGTACGTGTCCAACTCAGACTCACAGTGTGCGCACACCCCTTGACATTTGTGTTTATGTATGCACGTGCCCACAGACGCATGTACGTGTGTATGTGTGCGTGTATGTATGTATGTGTGTGTGTATGTATGTATGTATGTAGGTAGGTAGGTAGGTAGGTAGGTAGGCATGTATGTAATTCTGCAGTGTTATCCACACATACATTCGATATGTGTGTGTACATACATACATACATACATACATACATACATACAAACATACATACATACATACATACATACATACAAACATAGATAGATAGATAGATAGATAGATGGATGCATGCGTAGATACATAGATACACACATACATACATACGTACGTACGTACGTACATACATACATACATGCATATTTGCTTACACACACACACATACATACATACATACATACATACATACATACATACATACATATGGTCAGGCGCTCCGCGGGTCCCCCCGCCCTCCCCCCCATGGTCCATGGTCCAGGA